CGGCTTTTCTGTTGAAAACCAGCTGTGAGGAAAGGAAAGGGAATTGCTGCAGAAACTCATCTCGTATTTGTTCTTAAATTAACAAAATAATTATGTGCTTGCTTCTCTCCATTAGAAAGACAGGTGTGATACCTGCCTTAATTAACCAAATGAGGATGGGATCCAGTATACTGGATACCACAAACTTCTGCCACTAGCTTATTCTCTGAAGGTAAAGTCAATGGAGAATGAGTTGTTTAATCTATGAAGTAACTGTAATCATGTAGACTGAAGGCCCCAAAACTTAAATGTGAACATACGTGAAAGTACAATGTTGCAGAAACCAAATGGGTAATCACTTTGGGATGTGTTCCTTGCAATTATGACAAGTACCTTTTTGTGTCATTCCCCCTCCACAATACACTCTTGCATTATAGACATTTAAAATGGGAACTGAGCTTGTTCAGCCTGGAGAAGGGAAAGCTTCAGCATGACCCAGTAGCAGCGTGCATCACAGCTACAAGGAGGTCATCAAGAAGATGAAGCCAGGCTCTCCTAGGCACTGTGCGGGGCGAGGATGAGAAGAAACAACAAGCCAGGCTCTCCTAGGCACTGTGCGGGGGGAGGATGAGAGAAACAATGGGGCTTGAGTTCAGACAAGATGCTGAGACTGGATATAAGGAAAAAACCAGCCCATGAGGACAGTCAAGCAGTGGGGCAGGTTCCCCAGAGAGGTTGTGCGGTCTCTGTCCTTCAGAGGTTTTCAAGACCTGACTGGATAGGCTGAACCCCGCTTTGAGCCAGATGTTGGACTTGAGACCATCTTGGCAAAAGGGAGGGTACAAACAGCATTCATCAGTGCTGTATTAATAATGCAGTACCATTAATGCAGTTAATGGTTAGTTTACGAATCTGTATGATTTTATCTGTTGTCACACAAGCCTTACATGTTCAGTTTCAGGGTATAATTTTCTATGCCCTGGTGCTTTATGATGTACTACAGGAGGATAGGTTTGTTCAAATTAAGCATAAATGACTCCTCTCTGTGCTGCTCAGCACTCCGTTATTGTGTTAGTGCAAAACCTGAAGCAGTAAGTTCTCTCTCCCTCCTTCCCATGCTTTACATTGCAACAAGGAAATGCCAAATAAGTATCAAAGGAAACACTCTGTTCCCTCTGGCCTCAGCCTATGTTTAATTACAGAAGCCGCACACAGGTGGACAACAGCCTGTAGTGGCAAGATCCCACCAATTCTGAAACTTGATTCCTGGGTTTCCTATCAAATGCTATCGAGTGAGGGGCAAGACAAACTGGGGAGCATTTATTTTCTTTATGCAGAAATTTTGTAAGCTGTTGATCTGTAATGTGACTTTCTACAGTAAAGTCTTAATTTTTTCTAAATTGATTGTATCTGCTGCTCAGTCTCACTGTGCTAGTGAAACATGGAGGAGTTTATGTGGCTGAACAGGACTTGTAACACCATCTTTGAACAGCAACACCACAACCTTCAAAGCATGAAAAAGACCTGTGATTTTGCACAAGATTTCTCTATCATCTAGAACCAAAGCTGTATGGAAAGCAATTTGGTAGAAATACCTACTGCTACTCCCTACTTCAAGAGCTCCCTGCCTTGTCCAGAGTTTGCTGGCAGGTCTCCACCAAACACCTGCTACGGTTCTGTCCTGCCAGGAAGCAGCCATTTCATTAAAAAAAGTGGGGATCTTTAAAGGAGAAAAGAGGTCATCACAGCTCTCTACTTTTTGCCACAAAAAGTCTGCAAATAATCTAACACTCATTCTGTGCATGCACAGAAACGGAGAAAGTGAGGAGGTCTGCAAGAGGAAAAAGTACACACTGAGGAAGAAACTCTGCACCACGTTACCAGAGTTGCCTGCCTTGCTCTCTGTCGATGAAGTCAGGTTCTGGTTTTAGCTGTCCCCCCTTTGCAATACCAGCTGATTGTCCTCAGAGGGTCTGTCCTCCTCTGCCTCACTGCAGAATATGGGAGCTCCAGCCCAGGGGTCCCCAAGTGCCCAGAATTCATGGACACAGTGGTGACTACATCACTCTTCCTCCTCTCTCCACACAAAGTTCTTGAAAGCAGAGGTAATTCATTGCAAGATCTTCAAATACTTCACCATAGCACTTGAGCTGTGGTAGCTCTGGCAGACATTGCCAGCCACAGCTTTTCATCCCAACGTACCCTTTGGCATCCAGGCCCTGCCCTCAGCCCACCTCTGTTCTGGCAGAAGGGACCTGCCCAGCCTCCGGTAGGTTTAAGAGATCCAAAACTATGTCCTCCATCCAGGTAGGAAAACAGGGTTTAAGCACGTGCTTCTCCTTGTCACAAACATTCCCCATCTGCCTACATATGCAGCTTAGTGGGAAGAAAGCACCCTCCAAAAGCAGACAGCTTTTGGACTCAGCCTGTAGAGTTAAAAATTGTGGCCAGAGTGGAAACTACTGTGGGGATTGCAGCTAAAAGCTGGCTCCATCCAACGCAGCGTTCCCACAGTAGTGTCACAATAGCCACAACGTATCAGTTAGGGGCTTGCATCTCCCAGGGAAAACCACGGCTCCTTGGGTGTGAGGGCACTTTGCGTACATAAACCTCCAAAATTCTATCAGCAGAACAGATCCTGTGCCAGCTTCACTTGAAAGCTTTGCGCGAGCCCAGCTCTGGTCTATGTCATTCTACAAATGATGCACGCGAGCGAGCGCCTCGGCCCCATGGCACACAAGCACTAGAGGCGATCACCACCCAGACTCGGAACAGAGCCCTGTCCCACACACTGACCTGTGCAGCCATTTACATGCCATAATGAAGACAAACAGGGAGACAACTATGTTTACTGTCTTAAAGTGAATTTAGTGCATGTGAAAGGTGCAGGAATCCCTACACACTGTACTATAGCCTAAACGAAGACAAGAGATCTGCTTTTACCATCTCATCTTTTTAATCACTTCCAATTCTAATAGTACAGACTTTCATCCTCTGCGAAAGGAACTAAATCAGCACTCATATTGGCCAGATACCCGAGTATAAATTTATTTACTATCAGTCAAAACTGAGTGAGAGGTGTTCACCTTGAGTTCCTACACACTGTACTATAGCCTAAACGAAGACAAGAGATCTGCTTTTACCATCTCATCTTTTTAATCACTTCCAATTCTAATAGTACAGACTTTCATCCTCTGCGAAAGGAACTAAATCAGCACTCATATTGGCCAGATACCCGAGTATAAATTTATTTACTATCAGTCAAAACTGAGTGAGAGGTGTTCACCTTGAGTTTCTGAAGTGTTCCAGCTCCTGAGCTATCCATCCGGACCCTGCTATTTGTTTTGAACACAGCACATGCAGTTTTAATTTCAAAATAAGTTTTTAGACCATTCTGCAAGTGGAAAAACTTCCTAAAAATTAGTGGTTCCCTAATTACTTTCATGCTCACAAAACTACTATTGAGCTTTTCAGGGAAACAATTTGGTTTTTGAAATAATTTGAAGTGCAAGAACAGTGGAAATAACGGATATAGTCCATAAGCAAAAATATCAACTAATCAAATTTCTATGAAGAATTAGTAAAAAATAAATTATTTCATCATCTGAGAAGACAAGGTAATTTTCAATATCTTGAAGAATTCAAGTTAATCTCAACTATGTATCCATAAAAATGTGCTTCAATATCTGACTGATACTTTTTACCCTCTCACTGGCCACATACTCAGTTCATTGCCTTCGCCCTCATCACTATCAAAATAAGGAGAAGCAATGTGAGTGAATACAACAGCAACACTGAGATAAGTCATCAAACTGATTCAAATTTCTGGAAATGGTTGTTGGTCATTTTCTGCCAAAGCATTCAGTAATGCAAAGACCCAGGCACTACAGCCAGTAAGAAGGCGGGTAGGGATAATCAACTTTAACATCGTTAGAAAGTATCAGTGACAGAGCAATGAGCTGCTTTTCAGAGAAACAGGTCAGGAAATGCTATAGGAGCAACAGGCTCAGTTGCTGAATACAGAAGAAATTTTCTGTATTGTATCAGAAAACGTTCCCTGTCCAAGCAGCATCACTAAACAGCTCCAGAAAGAGCACTACAGCTATAATAAAACTGCCCTAAAACCCACAATGAATACGAGCCAAGCTCCTCGAAATGTCAGTCTCCCTAAAGGAAACCCCCAAATATTTCTATGATTTGGGGCTTCAGTTTTGTTTACTTTTGAAAAAGAGGCACCTCTTAGTATATATTTTCCAGTAATTTTCCAACTTCTGACTGGTTGTATTTGTCTTTAACAATTGATATGATTATTAGGACCTTCAACAGTGACCCTGACCACAGGATACGTAAAATAGTCTCCTTTGGTTTTGGCAACAGCCTCTGAAGTGTGAGTATCCTGCAGTGCAAGGTAGTTATCATTCTTCTATCACATAATGGAAGTGAAAAGCAAACAAACTTGACACAAAAATAGAAAGCATCTGTCTCTGGTTTGTTCAGGTTTTGTTGCTAGAGAAAGCTACTAGTCTTCATCGTCAACTTCCCAGAACTCACCATCAATATGCATGGCTTGAAACAATCTGCAAGACAGCCAATAATTTACATCAGGATGTAAAAAAAGTAAAGTATGTACAAAAAAAAAAAAATCTCAATCTAAATGTGACAAAAAACATACAAAAGCAGCAAATTTCACTATTTTTTTCAGTATCATAAACCACTCATGCTGCTGTCCTCAAAGTCGATTAAAATAAGCTACTCTGCACTTCTACAGCACATTACAAGAAGGCTTTACACTACCTTACAAACATGATGTCTCAAGAAATCCCGTAATATATTAATAATCCAAAACGTATTAAAAGTTACCTAGCATGCTGCCGTTCCTAGTTGGTCTTTAGGCAGTATATAATCAGCAGCCAAGCCTGCCTGCTCCAAACAGCTTACAATCTAATCAGACAATACAGAGCTGGGCAAACAACTATAACACATAAGCAGGGAGGGGGGAACAGAAGGGAAGAAAATGGGGTTTTTTATAAAACAGATGAGCTTAGTCAAGATAGGCAGAAGTTAAGCTAAACTAAAAGAAAAAAAAAAAAAACCACCAGAAGAAAAATAGAAAGGAAAATAGGGTACGGAGTTAAATAATTACTGTTGGGAGAAGAAGGAATGCTGAAAAAGAAGGACTAAGAACAGGAAAAAAATAAATCCTGTCAGCCACATCTATTACAGCAGAATGGATGGTGCAGGACGAAGTAAACTATTGGTATTTTGACTTTTGTATCCAGGCACTATATGTCACAGCAGTGGCCTCATAACCAAATGGAATACACACAAGCTTAGAGGCTGCCATTATTACACCTCTCTGACCTGCCTGCCCTTTCATTTGTCCAGACAGCAGTGGCATCCTTTGTCTCTTGATACATCCCTAATAGTGATGATGTAAGCCAAGTTTGCAGCTTTTTAGAAGCAGCTTTTTTACAGAAAACCTTGTGTTGCGCTACCATATACCTGAGCATCCGCAAGGAAACATTTCACTACAGGCTGTCTCTCAGTCAGAGGCAGCAAGTAAAGCATCAGGAACAGGCCCAGGAGACTTCTCCAGAACTTTAAACCAAAAGTTCTTCGAAAGCAAAACCATATCTCAAATCACTCCTGATTTTTTTTATTGTTAGTGTAGGGTCCTTGTAAGTGTAAATGTTTGAGAGAAGAAACTGTGTCTTAAACTGTATAGCTACAAATTTCAAGGTAAGAATAACCTGGGAGAGACTGTAAGAAAAAGTAGAAAAGTAAGTGGTACGGCACTAGAAGAAATACATGTAAATACATACCTATTAAAGCATGGGGAAGATGGATCATTGAAGTGCCTGTATGGGTTCACCCTTGACAGAGAACCCATACAAAGCCAGCAGAAATACTGCATGCAGCCAGTACATGTCATTTTGTTACAACCATCTAGTTTCTGAGGGGAAGAGAACAAGAAATAGCAGTAACGAAATCTTACCATGTCAGTCTTCAGGCCTGTGTCTATATGACAACAGTCCTCAAAAATGCATCAACTAATGAATACATTTTACCCCGACTCTATCATAACACTGATATTTTTTCACTGTTCAAAAGAACTAGACGCTAGAATCACATAATATTAATAATGCTGGCAATTAATATTTTTCTGAAGCTAGTTTTATTTCCTGGCTGTAGTCAGAAACAGCAGTAGTCCAAGGAAAACAAAGGATTCATATGGATCCATAGTCAACCTGGATCTTTTTAGTACTGCAGTCTGAACAATACCAGTTGCTGTATTTACTCAAGTCCCTGAGCTCCTGAACCATCACCTCCTTTTCTATGTAACACAGGAAACTTCTCTTACCATTTCCTAGAAATTTACCTTCCCTGGTGAACTTGGAGGCTACAGACAAACCTCTGTTCCAGCCTAAATGCAGAACTGACTGAATTTATGTTAGTTTCTCTTAAGAGTTACTATGATTCTTCAGCCTTTCCCCTCCATGCTTACCTCTATATGAGTACCACAGCAAGGACAAGACTTTGAGTTCTTTTCTAGCCATTCTTTACTTTCCATCTCCTCAAGGGCTTTCTGAATCACTCGTTTGCCATAGCGTTGTTCCAAAAATCTTTTAGTTGCCTCATCTGCTTCTAAATACTCATTTCGCAAATCCATTAATTTCTCTGGGGAATAAAACAAAACAAAAAACCAAACCAAACAAAACAGCTTTTGTAATATATTATATAAAGAAGTCCACCTAATAACAGCATAAAGTATTCTCAAAGGAAACTACCATCATTAATTAAAAAGCAAGTAAAACATTAGAACACATAAGAAAAAGATGAGAATATTAAAACCTCTCTACCTCAAAATTAATGCTTTTACACTGTTTCATTATAAAAGAGACCAGTCGATGGAATTAGAACAAGTCTACAATGTAAAATAAACTGAAAAATGGAAAAATTTTTTCTGAACATACATTTCATGAAACTGTCACAGGATTTTGAGGCCAAACAGAGCGAGAAGCATCCACCTGATTCCAATACCAGCTCTGACAACAGAAAGCAGTGGATTCACAGGAAAGGGTAAAAAAAGGCACATATAAAATTATTCTTCCCCTGCTATGGCTTCTCAGCATTTGGCAATCAGCAGTTTAGGGACCTCCTGCACTGTGGAGTGTCATCAAAGGTATAATTTTTAATTGCCAGCAACAGACCTACTCCAAATGAATCTGTCTAATCTTCTAGAAAGCTCACGTAGTGATGAGTTTCCTTGCTTAATTTCTGACTTTCAGTCTTTTTCACACAAGACTTAATTGTTTCTTGATCCATTTCTGAAATACAATGACTCACCCGCAGTAACTTTACATGGAGAGACCCCATGGTAAGTCATTTTACAGAGAGTACAAAAAGCATAGTTGCAACGGGAACATATGCCCATGGTGCAACCTGGTTCTTGCATGACTGGTGTCTGACAGCCCAGGCGAGGGCAATACACTACATCCGCCATCAGGTCCAAGCTAGACTGCAGAAGCAGGCGGTCATAACGTGCAAACAACTGCTCTCCAACCAACTCTTTAACCTAAACAAAGATCAAAGAGAGATTACATGCATCTGAAATTCTGAGCCTGCTAGCTTCAGCAAAAAACAGTAAGCCAATGAAAAAGTACCTACAGCTGGGATGAATCCACTTTACGTTCTCCAATAGGTCATGAAAATACTCCTAGAAATGCTATTTTAATAGTAATTAATCAAATTAAAAGCATGCAGTGTCAAATGCAATGGGACATTAATTCAGGTTTCTGACCAATGCCAGTACTAATAGAGTGGGCAAAACGTGCCATATGATCCAGCTTTAACTCTGATGCCTCTGCATGGCTCAGAGTATGAAATAAAAAATTTCCCCAGGTATATTCACAATGCTCACCATGAAAAGCCACACCATGTCTTCTGTAATTATTGGTAAGCTAGCAGAACTCTACCATCACTGCTTGCACACTTCTATTACCTGGCCAGGGGTAGCAACAGAAGAACACTTCGGTTCTGGACAGTTGAGACAGTGGACCTGACCATCCCTGATCTGTATTTCAAAGTAGTCCTTCAGGCATGCTTTGCAGTATACATGGCTGCACTCGGTGAAGTACATACATTCACTGCCCAGCTTCTCACAGAAGCAGATATTGCACAAGTACATCTTACTGTTAAAGCACTTCCTCCTCTGAGCCTGATCAAAGTCCAAGATTTCCCTAATCAGACTCGACAACGATTCCACATCCCACACAGCTCTTGCATCGACGATTTCTTCTTCAGCTGCTGCAGAGCCTGCTGCACCACCACAGTCCTTCTCAGCGTCGAGAGGGACCAAAGGTGTCCTACTCTGCCCATTCCCTTGATGGCACATCTTCAGCTCATATGGGGAGGAAATATTCAGGTAACTCAGTGTTTCTTCCTTCAGAAACTGCATCCAGGCAAATAAGACCACACAGCCTCGATTCTCTTCCCATACGTTGTCTAAGTGTTTGCAAAGAGCGCTGAGCTAGAAAAGAAAAAACAATTCCAGATTTCAGGAAGTTCTGACAACTCGTTACTGTTTCCCTCTCCCATGGTCCCCCTTAGTGCATATTTAGATTTCAGATTCTGGAGTTTTTATATATACATAAAATACATATAAAAATAATGCTCATAGATGCAAGCTTTCATTCCTCACAATGGTGACCAAATAAAAACAAGTAGGAAACAAAAGAAGAACCCACCGAAAGAGCAATGTAATCGTTTATGTCTTAACCTTACTTTTATCTATTACATTAACATCCCCCAGAGCACTGTTAATTATGAACTTACTCATGATCTGTTAAAATGTTAAAACTATTTTGCAAACCTGGGCTTGGGAGAGCCATTTTCCACTGAGGGTAAACACCGGTGGGGAGGTCGATGGGTAGTCTGGTGGGAGTTCAAAATTCAGCACAAGGGGAGGCAGAAAGCAAACAGTGTATTCAAACCCATTGTTCTGGAGGCTTTCTGTGGAATTGCCTGAATCAAAGAGAATTGAAACAGTTTGAGAAGTAACAAGAAAATGAAAACTAGTGAACTGCAACTGTTTATGACAGATATCTCTTTTCACTTATTAAATTCCTGGGTTTAAAATGATTTATTCAACCCTAAATAACAAAACTTCTCAGTGCAGTAAAATTTCCTGGGGTTGTATGCATATGGTTAAATCAGTAAACACCAGTAAACCTGGAAAGACATATCCTCAAAGGAAAAAAAAAAAAAAAAACCAACTTAATTATTCCAAAGAAATACTATTACTCATCTCTAATTTTAAAGTTCACTAAAGAGGTTATATGTATGAGGATGAAATCACCCACTCAGATATAAACCCCAACAATACCACAAGCACAGCATAGGGTCAGTCAGGGCTTTCTCTGGTCAGTGTTCCTATAGGTCGTTGGAGCAGCAACCATCTAAGCATGTACCAGAAAATTAATTTCTGTAATTACTGGTAAAAACTAATTTTGGGATAACACAAAACATCTCAACTCACCACTCACAAAAATTTTGAAGTTTTGGGGCAACTCCAGACAAATTCTTGTTTCTCCTCCTTGGGCAGACTCAGCTCTCTTAAACTCATCTTCGTCATAAATGCTAGCCAAAGCCAGCAGCTCATCCTCCTGAGCTTCTTTGTCTTCTGAAGACATTTAAATTTTCTGTGGAGTTAACACCACTCTACAAGATCAACTGAGTTAACGCACCCTATTCAAATTATTAATCTGGGGTATCTATTTTATACTAATATAATAAGATTTAGAAACCCAAGTAACCGATATAAAGCAATATAAAATATAATTAAGCTTTTTTACAGGTTGGGAAAATATTGGTAGCTTTATAAAATAAAAAAACACCTTAACAGAGCATTGAAAAGTCAAAAAGCAAAGTGTTCGTGGCTAAAGACAGCTGTAAGGGGGAAAAATAGTGAAATACACCGATGGCAAGTGACAGAGAGACATTTCGTTAATGTTTGAAAGAGAAAATAGACTGAAAAACAAGAAAAAGGAATTAGTATCTCTCGTCCACTGTTCTAAAACAAACAAACAAAAAGCCCTATTTATGATTAAAGTTATTGAAGGTATCAACAAGAAGCTTCAAATCCTACACAGGCATTTCGGTTCTAGATTTGGGGAAATAAAGCCACGTGTGATGGATTACCTTTTTATTCACAACTGCGCAGTGGCAAAGTTGTAGGTACCAGCTACTGACCAAGGGCAGCCACGTTAGTAGGGCCAGAGCAGAGCCCCTGATCATTCCTCTGGGAGAACTGGAGGTCATAAACTTTTTCTCATATAAGGCATGAAAAATGTCGACTTTGTCGTCAAGGTGCATATGCTTATGGCACCGGTACTTCTGAGCTGCCTGCAGCCAAACAAACAAATGCTCAGAGGGATTAAAGCCCCTTCAGCATTTTCATTATGAATGCTAACAAACATTTCATTTGAGCAGACACGCTCAGTAATACAGAATAATCTTTTTACAGCTCTAATAGCAGTAACTCATTTATATGTATAAGCTGTGATCACTGCTTACACCTGGACTAACTCGGGAGCCTGGTAAGGGCCCCGCTGAAGTCAACAGAAATCCTGCCGAGCTGCTTCCCCCCACACCATTCAGGGAGATTATTCGCTGCTAAATAGCAAAGAAGAGCTCTTCCAAATAAGCAACACGGGGAAGAAAAAACATAACCAAAAATGTACGGGGAGCAGTGGAAAGAATTAAAGAAAAAGCCAAATTTTCAGGCCGAGCTCCCCCACACAAGCAGCTCTACAATCGTCGTATCAGTTTCAGCCGTTCCCCATCTTTTCGCGCTGGCACACCCGCCTAACACAGGACCTAAAGCCGGCAGCTCTGCTCAGGCGACGGGGAGCAGCAGCAGCACCCCAGCCCGCCATCCCGTCA